TGCACGCTTTTCATGATGGTTTCATCTCGTCTCCGGAGTCGTTGCGGCTCCTGCCATCGTGCCGAGTGGAACGCCGTTCTCAGTCATGAGCAAAATTACAGCCGCCGCGGCAATAGGGTCAAGGTCTTCGTTCCCCCGGAGGCCAAGAAGCATGAGCCCCCAGCCGACGCCCCGCCGTGTTGACAGACGGGACGCGGGGCTGCGGCGGCCCCGACGTCCTCGGCCTCCTCACGTTTCGCGGCCGCCATGGCGGCGACCAACGCTCTCGAGCCGAAGAATATCCTCCAGGCCACGATCGACTCCCTGGCCAATCATCCCCCCCCCACCTTCGGGGAAGCCTGTGCAGTCCGAGGCGGTCATGGTGTCGAAAGCGGAGAACGTCTGGAGGGACTGCAACTAAAAGCACGACCGGATGGTGGCCAGCGTGCGCCATCTGAGGACCGCCCTCGAGGTTGCCGAGGACATGGAGCGCTCCGCGTCCATGGCGCTCGCGTCGGCAGAGCTTGGCAAGAAGCAGGCGGCCCAGGCGCGTGCGAGGGCGGCAGGCATCAACCCTGCGCCCGACGACTACCCCAGGCCGTCCTTCGAGGTCTCGTGGGACGCCAAGCTCTTCGACGACCACGACCAGCTTGAGGTCGAGGAGACGGAGAGGGCCCAGCTTCAGCTTATCAAGGCGGAGTTGGAGAACACGAAGGCCACGTTCGCGACCAAGAACGCCGAGGTGCAGTCTTGGTTGGACAAAGCCTCCCAGGACCAGAAGGCTATCACCAGCCGCGCTGCCAAAAAGCGTCGTGCCGCTGACGGGTCTGCTGAGGATGCTGTTCCCGCTGCGGACGCTCCTCCTGGCGAGCCTGTGGCTGGGGGCCCGACCTCCCAGGGCTCGGCGAGCTCGGAGAGTGGCGCCGCGGCCTCTCAGGCGGGAGCCCCCGCGCCCGACCCCGAGCAGGAGCGGGCCATCGTCGAGGAGGCCGCGCGCATCTCGGCAGTCGACTTCGAGGCGGCGGCCCAGGCGGAAGGGCAGGAGGCCGCGACGAAGAGCAAGGGCGGGGCCATGGGCACCGAGGGAAAAACCTGACGGCTTGCGCCTGGCGCCGGTCGCCCCAATGGAGAAGGGGCCCTGAGCTACCAGGCGCCAGTTTTGTCCGCTGCAGCTATTGAGTGCCGCCGCAGTCACATCTTTTTCGGTGACGCCACGTCCATGGGCGAGGCCGCGTGGACCTACCTACATCGATGCCATTACCTCCAGCAACGAGTACATCGGGGTTGCAGAGACTTACGTCGCCGAGTCGCAGCTGCACAAGTGGGGCGCTCGTGTCTTCTGCTACCGTCTGCAAGGCCGATGAAAAAGGATAATGGCTTCTCTCCCGGGGGCACCTGCGAGTGGAGTCGCTCTACGAGGCACGGTCCACCACGGCCCTTCGGGCCCCTGGGTCGACGGCGCTCGACGGTTTTGTCGCGACGGTCATCCCTTGCTCAGGTAATTCGTTGGTTCTTTGCACATGCTACGGTTTCACATTTGACACCCGAAATGGGTACCGAAAGAATGGGTACAATGCCCAACAACAAATGTTGTCCCAAACCAACACCGGCCGCTGTTGGACAGGCGGCCTTCTGTCTCGAATGGACACAGGCCGCGGCGGCGCGGACAGCGAGCCCTGTTCAAAATGAACAGGAACTGCTGTTGGGCATTGTACCCATTCTTTCAGTGCCCATGTCGGGCTTCCAGATCACAACACAAGGTTCATGCTGCCGCAATCTGGCCAGATTTCGTCGCCTCGGTGGATTACTTCGCAGTCTACCTCTACCTTGGGTTTGTCTGGGCGACTGGAGCGTGCAGTCACCTATCCTGGTCAAGTCGGGTCTCCTGGATAAGGTGCTCGGCCGCATCATCACTCCCGGTGGGAGTCTCCTACGCCTGCGACGCCAACAAGCAGGGTGGCATGCTGTACTACGCGATCGTCAGCGAGGCCGCCATCCCGTACATCACTTCTCTCCGGCCAGTGGTCGACATCCCCACGCGGCCGCGCATCGGCCTCTCCATGTCCCTGCGCAGCAGCGGGCTGCAACTCCACGCGCGCAGGCTTGCTTTCGCCGGCCGTCTGCCGCAGGTGGCTCGCCCTCGCTCGGTTGCTGCGCCTGGCTCCAAATCTTCTGCTGCCGAGCGTAATGGGAGATCCGATGCCGAGGGGGCCAGCATTCAGCGCAATGGGAAGACTGGCCAGCTTTTTGGAGTGCACGCCGAGAACCAGGCTTCTGTTTCATCGTCGCCGCCCGCTCCAGAGATTGGCGCCAATCTGTTTTGCGCTGCAGCTCCCAGGTCAGCGTTTGGCCCGAGGAGGAGGATCAGTGGGCCCATGACGCCAATTTCTGCCAGGAAAGGAGAAGTGCGCCATCGGTCGTCCACGTCGGTCCTCCGCATGAGCTTACCAGGCCTTCGCTGGCTAATAATGCCTTTCAGGGTTCCACCTCCCCAGCCACAGGAAGTTCCTCGGACAGCCCC